TTTGTGCAGTTTGCGTTGCAAAATTCATATTGTGGCGCTCTTTGCTGTGTTGTTTGATATGTCACGTGTGCGTGCTTCTATCTTTGTAGAGGTCAGAAAAAAGACATTAGATGCCCAGAAAAATATCCACCGGGGTCCGCAAAAAGACACGGGGTCAGTTACGAGATATTTCGGGGCCGAGAAAAAGACGGCTTAAATCGTGGAGTGGAGGCGAAAAAAAAGATCGTAATCTTTTTCTAGACCTCGTCGCGGGGCTGAAGAAAAGATGGAGGTCGGAAAAAAGACATGCCGGGGCGAAGTCAAGATGGACCAAGCGCGGGGTCTGAAAAAATATATTTCGGGGTCGAAAAAAAGAGCAGCCCTGTGTCCCCCTTAAAGCCTCCCGTTAAGCCCCCCTTTAAGCCCCCCTTAAGCCCCCCTTTAAGCCCCCCTTTAAGCCCCCTTAAGCCTCCCTTTAAGCCCCCTTTAAGCCCCCCCTCAAGCCTCCCTTTAAGCCCCTTTAAGCCTCCCGGAAGCCCCCCTTAAGCTCCCCTTTAAGCCTCCCACGCAATCACACACACACACACAAGAAGAAGAAGCCACACGAAATCGTTTTATGTTGGGTTTTTGCGAAGAAAATAAAATGAGAAAAGCAAACTAAATGAAACAAAACACAATCACAAGCTCCCACCTCCCCCTTTGACAAAGGGGGGACTTAAGGGGGGACGGAGCTTTAAAGGGGCTTTAAGGGGGTGAGCAAAGGGGAGCTTTGACAAAGAGGCTTTGAAGGCGGCTTAGGGCTTGTGATTGTGTTTTGTTTCATTAAGTTTGCTTTTCTCATTTTATTTTCTTCGCAAAAACCCCCCATAAACGATTTCGTGTGGCTTCTTCTTCTTGTGCGTGTGTGTGATTGCGTGGGAGGCTACAAGGGGAGCTTAAGACCCCGAAAATCGATTTCGTGTGGCTTCTTCTTTTTTTGTGTTTGTTTTCATTTGTTTTGTTACATTAAGTCTGCTTTTTCATTTTATTTTCTTCGCAAAAACCCCCATCAAACGATTTCGTGTGGCTCTTGTTTTGTGTGTGTGTGTGTGATTGCGGGCCCATCGAGGCCGCTTCACGGTTCCTGCTCGGTCGAGGAGGTGTCTTCCCCCGGAAGTCCACCGGGACGGACGGAGCTCGCTTGTCCCAACTTTCCAACTCCTTGGCGACGGGTCTGGCACGACCTGCGGTTGCCGGCTAGGGTGTCGTCAACGCACTACCTCCGGTGCGACAACCTTGCAACGCAGCCCATTGGGTGCGTGCACAGCCATTCAATCATAACGTCGAGATTATCGATGGATTTGGTCGCAATACTGCCGCACCCACATGGTGGGAAGCTGGGCATTCCGTATCTGTACTCTGGCTCCACCAAGGCGATGTCCTTTCTGAGAAACTAAAAATTGGGGAGAAAATGGTCGTCTCCGGCGGTCTTTCTGTATTTGACGACTTCGGATCCTCCAATAATCGCCTCTGCTTGCGACGCTGGTTCCGGATGGTTGGCGGGCGGCACTGCACAGCTCGAGTATTACGATAGGCCCTTGCGATACCCCTCGTGTGAAGCTGGGCTTATCATGTGCACCGTTGCGACACGCTGCACAATCTCTACGATTTGCGCCTGAAGCCACTGCTGGACCTCGACGCAGCTTGATGCGACGCGCTCTCAGTGTGCCCTTGCGACACCCGATTGCTGCTCACTGCGCTCTACAATGGATGATCTACCTTTGCGCGGCCTCTTGTTTCTTCGAGAATGCTGGTTTCTCCTTTCAACCTGGGTTGGAGCACGGGGATCCTTCAGTATGGCACCCGGGATTGGGGGCATTGCAATTGCTATGCACGGCCCTGGCACCATCTGAGAAGAAGACCACCTAAGACGCGCACTATCGAAGGTCGAACGATCCCTGCTGGCTAAGTCCGCAAGTCGCGACCTGTTTCACCACATTAGGATTCTCTGTATAGTTCTTCTTCGTCTTTTTGCTTCATTTCTTTCTTACTGGGACCGAGTGCTGCAGCGTGTAGTCGACGAGGCCCGCCCACGCCAAAAAAAAAACAAGTTTTGTTGGGTTGGCTTCTTCTTTCCAGCAAGAAAAATTTCCTGTAGAGTCTTTTCCCTGTCCTTGAAGCGTTTCGTGTGTTTTTTCGTCTTGGAGAAGCCTTCTAGGGGGCAAGTTCGGCTGTAACAACATAAGAAAGAAGTTAGCGCTTTCGGGTTTGGGTTTTCCAGCGTCTCCTACTCCTTCCCGGTCAACAACAGCTGGTTCGCATCACTGCGTCACAAAAGATTTGGATGTGCTGAACAGGAGATTTTTGAAGGCAAACAAAGATGGCAAGTTACTGTGCCAATTTCCATTTGACGAAACAGCAAACGTCGGGTGAACACGTGGACTTGGCTGGAAAAGTGGAACATTGGCCAGTGCAGGACTTTTTTGTTTGTTTTTATTTGTTTCCCAAAGTGTTGGGTGATTTGGTACATTGTGTTGGACCGTTAGTGTTGTTTTTCATTTGCAACGTTTCTGTGGATTTTTGAATGCAGTTTTCAGTCACTCTTCTTGTCGTGCTTCTTGGATTTGAAGAGCTCAAAAGGGGCATGGGTTGTCGTGGCTGGTGACGGTCCATGAATGCTTGTCATCGTCGAGAGTTCGTGGTTTGCTTGTTCTGAAGTTAGGTGGTTAATGTTTCGTGTTTCTACAGCCTTCTCCACTCTCGGAGCCGTGTTTTTGGTGTTTAGTGATTCGTCTTCTTTTTTTGCTTCGGGCCGCACCCTGCCGGCTGAGCTGAAAGGCCGACGTGTTGATCGTGTTGGTCATGGATTCTGAAACTTGAGAGGTTAGAACTTGAAGACGAACCCAAGACATGTTCAAGACATTGCAAATGAACCGCAACGCTCTGCACACACGTTCCAGTATCGCTTGGAAGAAACTTCCATGCTCGCGAATTGTTTTGGCTGCGTGTGAACCCGCACCATTGCAGACCTGAATCAACGAGGGGTGTGCTTTAACCTGTCTTCAAGTTCGAATGCACGCGTTCAAACATTCGGGGTGGCGACATGAAATTTACAGATGCAGTACCTGCTGCAGTTGGTGCGATTGAGCGAGTTTGACATCTGCAGCTGTAGCCCGGTACATTTCTTGAAGTATGGTTGTCGTTAACGGATGTCGGACACATGCTAGACATGCTATATGTATATGGTCACGCGCCCTGCAAAGCAAATTTACATTTGCGGGCCAGAATTCAAAAATCTGCGAATTGAAGTTGCAAGCTGTGTAACAGCGAGATTCCGGCTTTTCACGCTCTGAGTTGGTGGCCGCCCAATCCGAAATTATTGTTGACGCAGTGGTTGAAATCGTCGAGACGGATTCGCTGGAAACGAGTTTCTTCTGATGCGGTCGTGCAGCCGCCCAGCATCAGCAACGGTTCAGACAGTGCAGATTTATCCTGCTTGTGGACATGGCCCTGCAGCGAAGACACATCGTCCTCTCCACGCCTCTTGGCACTTAGCTCGAATTTTGTCATCATGCGGCGGCTACTGGCGGGAGTGCCAAGAAATGTACAGGGCGATAGGCAGGTTCCTACCGCAGGTCATATGTGCTGTGTGACGTCTTGTATTCTGTGGCTTCCGCTCTTCTCCGCAAATCGTTTGCATGACCCAGCCGCCCAACTTTGCGGACACGCCGGGTCATGCCGTGATGGAGCTGGTCTCCTCGGCACTTTCCAGTGATTGCATTGCTCCGAGGAGCAGCGACGCACTGAAAGGCTTCGCAAGCTACTTGTGTCAGCAGCCTGTCGACATTGTGGGAATTTCAGACCATTACATGTTCCAAACAATCTGCATCTGCATACTCGTGTGTTCACATGCATCCGCGCGTTCTGCGAAGTGATTCTTAAGTATGCACATGGCGACTTTTCCTTCAGAGACCCAACAGATCTCACAACACTCGACAAGTGCGCTGTATCATCAGTTCACTGAAGCTCGATCGATAGCCCGATGTTGAGATTTTATGCACCCGAGGCTTTGCATGGCAGAGGAGGTTCTCTTGTTGCAGTTCTCAGAGCAGAAGGCCGCCCAACAACGTTTTTGCTGCTGCTGCTCGTGTTTTAGAAGGTTTTTGGGAATTCAGCGGGTGAAGCACGACCCAAGCAAACCGATTGCGCAGCATGTATCTTGGTACCTACCGAATCCGATCTCATGAAGCGGTTGCATGTGTGAGTGCCTAGGAACCTAGTACTTATGCTTAGATGCAGGTTTGCATGGCCTGTGCCCGGAACGATGTGTTCGTTCCCTATCCCGAACTCTTTTGACGTCACACCCCTTCCCGGTCTTGAGGATTGAAGTGCGAAGCGTGGCCGTAGCTCCAAGGTTCCATGTGACATTAGGCGAATATGACCAGATATCCCGAAATGCTGCACCGGTGTTGCTGACAGGCGCTGAGCATACAGAAGCTACGCAAAGCGCTTGGGCATTTTGGTCCTTGTGCTCCATGGCATCCAGAACCGGCAATAAGTGCATGTTGAGACCAGGGCTTCCGAACTCAGTTTCCTTTTCTTGTTTTTCTCCTCCTCCTCCTCCTCCTCCTCCTCTGCCTCTCGGAGTTAGTTTGTTTTGTACGTGCCGTTCCTCTCACCCATTGACAAGACAAAACGACACGAAGAGTGGGCATTGGTGCTTTTAATTTCATCCCGACCAGTGCCTAGCCGATGTTTCATTATGTACACGGCTTAAGATGAGCATGCCAGTAAACGGCCAACCAACGATGTCAAGACTTCACGAGCCTTAATGTTGCGCCAGCCCAGGAGATCTGGGTCTTGCTGCTGGCGACAGGGCAGTCGAGCCACCTGTGGTTACTGCTTTGAGTTTGGCCTGGCTATATGTTTTTAGAGATCTCTCGCCTCGACACAGTGCTCAGTCTGTCCAGCTTCGGCAGCAGCATCGCGCTGAAAATGTGCTTCAAAGATTCAAGCGTGACGTGAAGTTGTTGTAAGCCCAGGTTCGATGCCGAGCACTGCCCCAAGAACGTGGAGCTCTGCTCCTGGCTCCGGAGCTACGCGGAGATCAGGCCCAGAGTCCCGGAGCTGCGAGTGCTTGGCATATTGCTTCCATAGGCAGAGGGAGACCATTTGCTTCACTGCTTTCAATGTATCACTGGACTGTCGGTAAATCCGTGGAGCGTGGTATCATCACCGGATTCAGGCCTCTTTGGTCCGAATGACCTCTGCTCACTTTGCACTGCCAAAAGCGAACTGGGCACCCTGTCATAATCGGTGCACTCGCATCCGTGCTTTTCTCCTGCGGAAGGTATGTGATCTGCCCGACGAGCCCGACAGCAAAAATGGATTGGCCCCCGGACTCAGAGCCGAGACCTCTCCCCATGATCAAGCAGGTCTTCGGAGACCCTCGGCCCGAGCTCTGGTTTTGATGGCCCCAAGTTGAGCCGTTGAGTTGTTCTGCCAGGGTTCCTCCTCGGGGATAGGGATGTATCGGACCAGTGAGGACTTTCTGCCCAAGAACTTCGACCAGGCCGCCTGCAAACGGGATGTTGCCGGTCAGTCTGAGACTTCGTGCGCTGGGACTGTCCTGGGTTCTAGTGCCGAGGTCTCCTGCTGGCATGGTTTTGAAGCCGACGTCCGTTCCAGCTCCACCATCTTGGCTGCTTGCATGAAGCTGCAAGCCGCTTCATGAATCAGTCAGGACGTCGCACTTCCAAGATCCCACTTGCCCGATGTGGCTTTGTAAGGTTCAGTAACGCATTGTTTGAGCCAAGGACTTGACGGAGGTTGCCATGTCAACCGACCCGGTGCATGCAGTTCGCTTCGATGTACCTGGCAGCACAGGGTATGTCAGGGGATTGTGTGCAGGCTTTGTTGGCTTGCCTCAGCCCACAGCCGAGGCATGGGGTTTGCGGGGAGAGCGCTTCTGGTTTGGACTCGGCGTTGTGGCAGTCTCCAGTGGTGTGCTGTGCTTGCTGTGGAGCATGCGGCGGAGGTTCATGCGCTCGGTGGAGGGCATCGTGCGAGAGAGCCTGGCCGCACACGAGTCTCGGATATTGCATCTGCAGGCTCGTCTTGACGAGCAGGCTGCGACGATTGACCATCAAAGTGCGATGGTTGCAGACATCAAGAAGCAGCTAGACGAGGTGAAGGTTTACGCAAAGGAAGCGGTGAAAGACCTTGCAGAAAGGATGTCGGACAGGATGTCTGGCGTCTGTGACAAGATGCATGATCTGATGATGCAGATCACTGGGCTGTCGCACAAGCTGGATGGTCAGACCCGCGATCATTGCCCTGACCAAGCTAGCTGAAGGAAGCGGCTTCACGTTCGCAGCTTTCATCGCAGGCCAGGTGCCCGCCACTTGTTGACCTCGGCAAGCAAAGCGCCACAAACTTTTCTTACAGACTTTGGACTGAGGAAGCTGCAGCAACCCGAATTGTTTCTTGAGTTGTGCTGCTGTAGTACGGCAGCCAGAAGGTGACGGTGTTGTTGACAGTTGCTCTACTCATGTTCTGCATTCTGCAGTGCCAGGTGTATATGTGTTCAATCTTCACATCGGCCATGAGGTTGCCAGTACCTGTACGAAAACAGATCAGATCCCGAAACAAGACAACGAAGCTGAACAGCAAGTCAGCCCGTTGCATCGTGGTCCAGTTGCATCTGACAGCTGTATGACCGACGGGAATTCGACACAAGCTGCATGCTGTGTTGCAAGACGCGGATCACGGCCCGTAAAATTGCATTCTTTAGCCGAAGCAGTCTTTCTTCGTCGATTCGTCGATTCAGCTACAGGTAGAGCTATTGTCGGGCACATATTGAGGCAACGGATCCATCATCCACATCGAAGAAGAAGCTCTCTTGATGTTCAAAGTCGTCTGCGATCACGCATGCGGGCGCTTAGAAAAGCATTCGTTGGAGGCTGGTTTCTTGTCCAAGAGTGCATACGAGTTTCGACAGCAACAAGAATAGTTGACCAATTTTAGGAATCGGACCAGTGGAACAAGTTGGGTTGGAGTTTGCTTTAGCTGGCTTGCTCGAGGAGCAGAGCCGGACAAAACGAGCCTAAATTCGCACCAGAGGCAGAAATCGAAATAACTCCTGGAACGGATAGGAGTGCCAGATGTGTAAAGGTCAGCAAGCTGACTTGGCAGTGGTGTCTATGAAGGCCAGGTGCAGGGTGCCAGGGTCATCAGAAGAACAGCTCACGGCCAACGACTGTTGTCTGGCCAGGCTTCCACTGCGCGGGCATAGTCATGATTGCAATGAAGGATTTACAGTCTGTTGAGCCTGCGGTTTGGTTTTGTGGTTCTTTGCCAACTGGTTCGTGTGTGGTGGGACTAACCGGCAAGCACATCAGTCCGAGATGCCACCGCAAAGCACCCAAGTGTCGGCATCGTCGATTTCCAGTCTGTCGGGCTTTTCACCGAGTGTAGCTGCCTCGCCGCGCAGTTCTGAGCTCCCTGGTCCGCCCGACTGTGCTGTGTAGGCTTGCTAAAGGGCTTGAACCGAGCTGCCATGCAGATGCAGCCAGTTCCTCCCATTCCGCCGTCGAACCCGAAGATTGTGGTGCGTGCCGACAGGAGCTTGGTCGTCTCTTGGGATTGCGACAAGTCCCATGCCGATGTGACCAGTGTCTTCCACCTTACAGTGGCATACTTTGATCCCGAGGGCCCGATGCTTGAACCGGAGGAGACCAGGTCGATGACATGCCCGGGCTCGGGAATGCATGTGGAAGCCCGGGATGGACCAGGAGCGTTGAAGGCATGCACGGTCATGGTGTCTGTGCAGGCAGCAACCCAGACCTCTCCGGACGTTCGTAGCTCTGCTGTGAGAGCCCAGGCCAGCTGGGATGATGTGCAGTCCCCGGAGGATGGTGCTGAAGATCTCGAGGAGCGGCGGAAGAATCTCGTGGGTCAGCTTGGAACATTTAATCAAGTGCGAGGCTGCAGGATGAATGTCGTGATCGTCGGAGGCCAGCACCATGGCAAGTCGAGTTTCATCAATCATGTTCACCGTTGTTGGAACAACGACCTGACGGCCAACGACCAGATGGAGTCGGCTCCTGCTGGCATGGCAGAGAATACGCAAGAGATCTCGGTTTTGGATCTTGACGAGAGGCTGAGTTTGATCGACACGCCGGCCATCCCCAACATGGGCAGCGAAATGGCTGATGCTTTCCGGTCTCTGCTCAAGGCAGCTCAGAGCCCAGGGACACGGCGCCGGCAGTTAGCTCAGGGGACATTCATGGACAGCTTCCGAAGACCACCTCATGCAGCCATCGTGGTTATGTCGCTTTGCCATTGGCGTGATCAGCAAGAGGAGATGCAGGGCTACTTGAGGGCCATGGCCAAGGAATTGAAGAATGCCTCTGACGGAAGAGTTACCTTTCCGTTCGTCGTGGCTGCCACCCATCGTGACGAGTTCCTCCGTGACTCAAAAGCATCAAGACCCCATGAGGAATTGAACAAGGTCCTCGACGCCATGAAGAAGGCCGCCAACACTGCCCACGTGTTTGCGGTAAGGAGCTACCACAAGGGCAGCAGCTCAAGTGCCGCTGTCAACAAGGAGACGTTCGATCTCCTCTCGCAGCTCGTGACTCTTGCAGGTCGCCAAGACACAGGGGTCGTAGTTGCCCAGAGCCAGTATCTTGCAGCTGCGATTGCGGCGGGTGTTGTTGTGCTAGCGGCTTTGGGCGCATGCAAATGGAGGCAGTGAGCACCTTTTTGTGGTCGCAACGCACACCTGCGGTTCGCTAGTGCGTGTCGCTGCATGAGACCTGCTGCCTTTGGCAAGTTGTAGTACGACAGGGTCTCGTGTCACTCGCCCACAGCTGCTGTCCTCTCGCACAAACGTAAGAGTGGCTTATACCATGTACCTGTTTTGTGAATTCGGGCAGTGAGCTTTCTTGATCGCACTGGGGACGGAGCTGCAACGTTGGGAACCTATCTTCCGTCATGTTGTGCTGTTATATCAAATCACTGTGGCAGTTTGCCGCCGCATAGACGTTTCCCTTCAAGGGCTCTCAGCCACCAGGCCGAGACACTACGGACAGATTGAGCAAGGGAAAGAAACGTCGAACGTCAACAGCTGACTTTCCAGTTCTGCTTTTCGCATGAGCCTCAGGGGTTGGATATGGTTGGATGTGGCGAAGCAGCTACAAACACGGTATTTCCGACCGACTCGCGGCTTGACCTGTCTCGAGTCCCCGCATCGGGAATGCACGAGCCCTGAACTAAAGCAGTGAAGCAGAGATCCCTTGAGCATCAGTCATGTCGTCGAGCTTCCATCTAGCAGTGGTGTTGGTGTAGGCTGTGACTTCACTCATCTTTTGCCATGCTGCCGGCTGGCAACCCTGTCGTGGGCGCACGCGGGGCCGCTCACACAGGCCCAGGTGGGTCACGGAAATCAACTGCATGGATGAAAGTTGCTTCGCCGTGGGCTCCAACGTCCTGTGTTGTTGTCGCGGCTGCAGCTGGCCGACTCTCTGGAAGGCAGGCGCTATGTCGCAGTCAGCGGAGCTTGCCGCGGAGGTCGAGAATGTACCTGCAGAGCTTCATCACAGAACAGGAGACGCTTACGCTGAGCACATTAGCCACCTCAACGGATTTCAGAATCACGGACGCCATCATTGATCGTTTATCCGACGACGACCTCTTTGAGAGGCTGGCGATGTTCGAGGAAGACTTGCTACTAAAGCGTGATGATCAGGATGCGGAGCTGCTAAAGGCCGGCATTCAAAAGGGAATCGACGAGGGCGCATTGGTAGCTCCCGGCAAGAAGCCGGTCTACGAAGACATAGACGTCACGAAGATGGAGGCGAATGATCGTGCCCACTACATGGCCACCCAGCTGCCGGCTGCGACTGAGGGTTTCGTCGTACCTGGGCACTGTTGCTAGGAGGGATGTTTGGGATCCTTTGGCTTGGTATCGCAAGCATGTTGATCGACATACAAGTCAAAAAGTTTGCGAAACGAGCATCCAACAAGAGCCAAACTTGCACCGCATAGCATTCTATGCAAGGTGGTCCTCGTCGGGAAGAGTGGCACCGGAAAGGAGACCACCTTCAAGAAGCTTCAGCAAGAGCTTCCCGAGGCGATTCCCTGGCTCCTTGGTCGGGGATGTGGCAGGGTTTTTCAGACTTAGATTCTGGTTCCGTCCCACTTCGGTTTTAGGGGAAGAGTTTGGCTCGCTTCGCTCGCTTTAGTCGAGGTCCAACGGCAACTGCTTTCGAGCCTTGACCTTGCTGGCCGTCACACACTGCGAGCAACAAGGGAAGGACTTTGAGCCGGAGTGTTTGACGCCGCAGAACTTGGAGGCTTGGGTCGGGATGTTGCAAGTCGTCCTCGAGGAGGGCTCGGACACCATCGACATTCGCATCAAGGGCCTCGGCTTCGACAAGCTCGTCTCTGAAATTAAGGACACCATCCTAAAGGACCCGCCTGTGTCGCGACTCCTGCCCGTGGTGGCCAAGTCAACTCAAGCGCAGGTTGTGGCCTTCGCTCAGCAGGCTCTGCAGCAAGCCGCGGCTTCCGGAAGAGTTGTCCTTTTGGAAGGTCGTGAAGAGACCTTGGATTTCATCCCCAGCAATTACCGTTTCCGCTTGACGCTGCCGGATAGCTGCAACCTGCTGCGTGGGCAGCGGCGTGCAGCCCAACGGATTTTGGGGGAGGCCAAGGAGATTTTGAGCAGGACGGACGGGGACTCCGTGGACGCTGTTCTCAACGAGGCCCTGCGAACTGTGGCCAAAGGCCGCGACATTCAGTAGCTAGGCGTTCAAGCCCAGGCTGTCTCTGGGAGCCACCTGGCCCGCAGCAAAAAAGGGGGGGGGACGCCTCCCCCACGTGCGGTTTGCCAGCCAGCGTGTGTTTACATAGCCCGTGCTGAATGACAGAGGATCGCGTTGACGAGCTAATCAACTTTTTCCTGCTAGAATCACGTCATGATCGTCGTGAAGATATTCTGAAATTGATTTGTGTCTGTGAGCTGCGATTTGAGCCCAAGTTGATGCAAGATGGCGAACTTATCCAACTACCGAGGCGAGGTAGGTGACATGACTCAGGAAGCACTGTGGACGGGCAAAGAAGTGCCAGCCACCCGCCACTTCTCACAAATGCTGGAGCACAGCTCTCAGCCGGGATACCACGCAAGCTTCATCCCACCGCCTTCCTCAAAACACAGCGACAGCCCAACCTTCTGACAAAGCCCATTGAGCCGAAATGGTACAACACCACGAATCTTATCCGTTCAAGCCTCATGTTGACCTTGGCCGATGTGCCCTAGGATGCCATGGCAAGGTGCGCGGGATTGAGAGCGCAGAGTTCGAGTCTGTCAGACATTGGGTTTGTGTGGCTTCTGGGTTTTTCATTTCCAAACCTCAGCTTCTGCAGTTGGCAACTCTCGTGAAGCCTGTACCGCTGCAGCTCCGTCGACCCTGGCAGCCATGCCGGGGAGGCCCGGGAGAATTTAAGGGATGGACTGCTCGGGATCAGGTGATCGTGTTTGCTTTTCCTGAACGGCGACGGTTCACTCTTGGATTTCGCCCCGAGTCCCATCCAACCTGAACAGCTCCACTCAGCATTCATGTCCGGTTCCGATTGAGGGTTTGGTCGTGCTTATTGTGTCTTTGCTGCCTTTAGCATCGTCCTATCGAGGGTTCGTGGCTCCCGGTGGCTTCCAAGCTCACTTTAAACGTTGCCCGAAGAAGCAAAGCAGCCATCCCAAGGCCACTGGCACTAGAACCGCTCTGCTTCTTGTACCACTAGCACTACCACCACCACTGGCACTAGCACTGGCACAAGCACTGGCACTAGCACTGGCACTAGCACTCACTAGTACCAGCACTAGCGCACTTGCACTGGCACTGCCACTACTACGACCAAGAGGCTCCTTGTGACAAAACATGCTCGGATGCCCGAACTCGTCAAAGTCCTGCGGCCTCAGGGGGCAAAACAGGAAGATGCGAGAGTCGGACCGGCACAGGGCTTGAATTCCGTCGGTTTTGCGACATTTTTGGGCGCTTCGGGACCTTGACGCCGTTCTAGAGCCGACCCCTTGCAAGGGAACCTACACCCCTGCGTTCCAGATGTGTTGTCTTTTTTGGGACCCGTCAGGACTGGAATGTCTAAGGCTAAGGCCTCTCTGCCTCTAAAATTCTAGAGCCCACCTCCGCCTGCTTACGGAACGAGACAGCAACAACTTAGACAACCGGAAAAACAGCATCAAGAAATGTGATGGGATAGTGACAGTTATTGACACTTACTTCTATTCGTGCGATTCGAACCCAGGTCATTTCGCCCCGGACGTCGGTGGAGCGACCCAGCGTGGCTTTGAACGCTCGGGCTCCCAACCGGGCACCATGAGGTTCAGTTCATCTGGGCCACCTGTTTATTTTGGGTATTCTTGGTAGACCGCCGTTCCTCAATGTCAGGTGTGTGTGAGGTGCATCATGCGACCCACTTCTTGACATTAACCTGACCTCAAACCTCTTAAGTCTTAATTAAGTCTTCAACAGATGACAGCGAGATATGATGACGACACCGTCTTCGCTGTAGAGTAGAAGACATAGTCGTGCCATGTTGCTTGCCTTGTCAGGACTGGTGCTGTCCGGTACTGGTCGTCGAAAGCTTTGTTCCCAAGCCCACTGTTTCAGTTGCCCCGATCTTCATCCATCCTACAGACCCTTGAAAGTGCACAACCGAAGATCGCCGGAATGCTAAAGGGGTTTCTCAAACGCGACACGTCAAGTCCCGAGCACAGACCTGCAAGCAATAAGCCCGAAACTTCGGCTTGGAAGCCTTCCTGACATTGCGCTTTTCCTCGTTGCTTCGTTGAGGCAGCTCCGCCAAGCAGGGAGCACAGCAGGCGCCGGGTGTGAAGTCTAGGATCGGAGGTTTGGGGTCTTGGGAGCAGAGCGTTTCGGGACCACGATGAACGGCGCGCCTGCAAGACGTTGGATGTTGAGTTGCATCTGCATGGCGGTGAACGTGCTCCTGGGCTGCATCTTGCTGTGAGAGGGCAGACTGTGGCAGCTGCAACTTCAGGTTGGGGGCTACGCCAGATGCTTCGCCGAAGCAGGTGGCTGATTCCTCTGCTCGGCCATATGGACTGTCGAACTATCATTACTTTTGCTGCTGAAGCTGCACACGAAACCTGATGCTCTACTACCTTTTGCTCCTGAAACCCGCTTCGAACTTTCGGGTGCCGTCAATCTTTTTTGTACTTTGATTTGATGCTTTGCTGTATCGAGCTAGCAGAAGTTCTTGTGGAGATGTGCCTCGAAACGTTTTTCGGGTCTCCAGGGCATGTGAGTCCATCTTTCGATTTATCATCCTCGACACAGAAGTAGGGTTTGGGGCCTCAGCAGTCCAGACGCATCTCGCAAGATATAATTTTGAAACACAATCTGAGCTCAAAGCGAGCAACGGGGAAGCTGACACCTTAAGCAGCCGAATCATGTTGGACTGGGAGCAAGTCCTGGCATGCCAGGAGCAAGGCGCTACACCTATGTCTGCTGTTTCGGTGCCCTCTGGAAGCAACTGGCTGTAACGCTTAAGTTCCGGCTGTAGAATCACTGTAGAGAAGAGTTGCAGTGAATGAGGCAGAGAAGCTAGGAAGGGCAAGGGTTTCAGGATGTGTCGTGTCTGTTTGGTTGCCAGAACTACAGGAATGACGGCAACCACGGAAGCAAGACCCATGAAGATGCAAGCCGGACTGACGGCACGACTTCGGCGAAGAGAAATTACTACCGCAGTACTACCCCAACTACAACTGCAGCTGGGACAGCAACAGCAGCATCAGTTGCAACAGCAACAGCTACTACTGACTGCTGCTACTGCTGCGTTTACTGCTACTTGCTGCTGCTGGTAGGTCTGTTCCGGCTAGTGCAAGGGACTTGCGCAGACCTTTGCAGGCCAGGCTCCTCTTCTCGCTCTAAGTTTCGACCCTTCTACAATTCTCAAACAGCCAAGACGAAGGCAGGCTCGAACTCACAGATCCAAATCCCCAAGTGCCAGTTCCCAGGCAGCCTTCTGCCATCGTGTCCGGGTGCGGGGCCCTGGTCTTCCACCCTGTCTCAACGGCTACGGAAGGCCAGCCTGACTTCAGCGGGTCCATCCGGATATCAAACCGTTCAAACCTCTCAACGTTTGGAGCCTCTTGCGGCACTGTGCTGTAGTCTTCGGTTCTCGATTTCTTGAAACCTTGAGCCTTGCATGGGCTCTGGAGTCCCGGATTCTTGGATGGATGGATGGATGAATGGATGGATGGATGCTAGGCCGGTGGATTCCTCAAGGTCAAAATTCGCTGTTGCTTGCCAGCGCAGGCTTGCACGTCAGTTTTCAGGAAAACATGATCCGTGCGATCTCCCTCAGGTCCCAGCCTGTCGCCTCGCCTCAGGCTGCTCTTGCTGGGATGACTTCGTGGGATGATGGTCTTCGTTTCGGGTATCGGGAGATTGGGTATGCTTTAATCGCAGTGAGTCTAACCCGTCGAGGGACGCTAGCAAACTTCGGAGCTTCTCCGTTTAAACTTGAGTTCTGAAGTCCTTCTGCGTAAAGCTGTGTGGTTGACCTTGACACTTCATTGTTCAACTTGCATGCTTTCTGGCCCCTTCTTACCGCAGGCCTCTACGGTTCGCAAGGAGGCCGTGCATCGTGGGTGACAATGGATTTGTGTGGATGTTCGCGGTGTGATTCTCTCGCATCAGCATGTTACAGTGGCAAGAAGGAAGAACATTACTTGTAGAGACCATCAAAACTGCCTCAGCGGAACGTCTCCGAAACTGAGTGCTTTGGCAACTCTATAGATCTATTGTCTGTGCCTGAAGGGGTTCAGGTCAAGCGCTACACTGTTGCAGAGCCGTTCGTGTCGTGAATGCTGATGTTACCGTCGCAGTTGCAGCTTGCTTTTGTGAAAGCTGGCTTTCGTAGCTCTTCAGCTTTTCTCAGTATACCGGCTCTGAGAGCTGCAAGCAATGACCATTCCACCGCCATCGCTGCTTGGGGCTGGGGGCTTCGTGGCGGAAGATTTCTGGCTTACATCCGCCCTTTACAAAAGCTACCGGTATCCTTGAGAGAGGGTTAAGGGATCGAGCCTGGAGGTTTCCGAAAAATCCTGACTCTTTGTGTGTTGGCTCTAAGATCCGCATCAGAGACCGTGGCAAAGCGTGAGGTGGCCGAGGCCACCATCTTGGATCGGAAGGTCGAGCATCTCAACGCGTGCGGGGCCCGGCCGAGTCGTCGCGTTGAGGGCCAGGTCCAGGCCCTCGGGTCGAGCTTTCGGGGGTTGGGGATTCAAGGTTTCAGAGTTTTCAGGCTCGGGTTTCCGATTGCTTCACCACATGACGTCTCAATGTCCGTTGCTGGCAAATACTGCTACTGCTGTGAGAACCGCACACCCCCCAGAGTTTGCGGGTCAAATGAGTCAACAGATGAAAGGACACCGGCTCGGCTGAGCCTTATGGAAAGATTGCGGCGCTATTGCGACTGCCTAGGCCGCCTCAGATCATCCAGCAACGTGGTGCCACTCTGGCCGGTTTTCATAGCGTCAAGGTCTTTAGCCTAATGCTGCTTCGACTTGTGTTGATGCAGAGCTGCATGTCGTTTCTGTAGCAGACCTCGTTTTGCTAAGTTGCAAGGGCAGGTGTGTCCAGGAGAGCCGTGTAGCTGTGGCTTGGCAGTGGGGAATACATTCGGGTTCGTAAGTCTCACGAGCACCAGGTGTTCTGTCTGGCCGAGCCTGCAAGGGCTTTTTCAAAAGATGGGGAGTTTTCATCAGGCTGGCTAAGGTCAAGGGAAATCACGAAAAAGCACGCAGCAGGAAACTTTGGTGGAGGAGGAGCTCAAGCAGGAGTTCATGGACATTCCCATCATCACAGAGGAGGTGTTCGCTGCCTTTGAGGGTCTTTGGACTTTTTCGGGGCTTCAAGCATTCATGCAGGGTTTGGACATGCGGAGATTGAGGGATTAAGGGTCGGATGGTAACAGGCGGACCATTGCACAGGTGTAGCTAGGAATCGACTCGTCATCCCAAATTTCGCGCTCTGCTGCAGATCCAATACATTGACATCCCCGACATTCACCATGTGGAGAAAGTCGAGGAGGTTTCGAAGGCGGGCTGGGATGCGACCATGCATCAGCGTGGTTACAGACGAGTATACCAGCCAGATCTTTCATGTACTTAGGTACAGAGTCCAATAAATCGGCAGGGAAGCAAAACGAGACACCCACATGGCCCATAAAGTTTATATGTATATACACATACATGCATGCTATATGTGAATATGTATGTACGTGCCTATGTAAATATTTGTTTGCATGTATTCAGCTATGCATAATGTACGTGTGTATCAGAGACCACATCGTGTTTCACTAGCGCGATCTCCTTTTCTATGAGGCAGGCCGACGGTGTGGTGTCAGCACCTGCACCCTTCATGTTCCCTCTAGACATGAACCGGAACCCTCAAACTCACTGACGAGAGGTCGTGCCGGTTCCTTACGAGCAGCTCGTTGAGGAGATCGTTAAGGTCCCCAGGCCGGCCCCTTGATGCCACAGTAAAGCCAAGGCTACAAGAGGGTTGAAGACATGTTGCTGAGATTCGGATGCAGGACTTTAGGCGCTTCGGTCACGCGAGTCCTGAACCTGCTCACCCTGGCCTCAGGATCCTGAAGGAGGAGCGCGTGCAGCAGCGACAGGCGCGGAGGAGTGCATGGAACCCTCACGACGAGCGAGGCATCTTGCCTGCGTCCTGGCAACGTTTCCCAGGCTGCTGCTGTGCACGTGCAGGATCTTCGACACAGGAACCGTTCGTCCAAGCGTTGGGGAGACCCCGGAGTGTGAATGTGTGAGGGGGATAATTCGTGTCGGCGTTCCAAATTGCCGCAAGAACTTCGGTACGTCTCCTGCGAGAGTGTCTCGTGGACAGAGTCTTCCTCGAGCCTTGCTGGTTTGCTGTTAGAGCTTCGACTCGTCGTCTCAGGCAGATTGCACTTGACCGATTCATGCCCGTGTTACATGTTCGCAGAAATTGTTTGAGCAGTCTTAAATTTAAGGCAACCGCCTCCAGTCCCAAAATCTCGAACTGCCGGCATGATGAGTTACTCGGACAGGTTGAGGTCACTGTGGACGTTCCGGTGCCGCAGGTCGTCGAAGAGGCTCTTTTCGTGTCTCTCCGTGATCGTTCAGGGTTAGGATTTAAGATGCAGTGAGCTTTCTTGTGGTCTGACTACCTATTAACTAAAGGGTTGGCACCCGCTAGTTCGGCTGTCATAACCTACGACGTTGTAGGGATTGGTGCCACAGGTAGTTCTAGGATTGAAAGCCCTAGTTTCTTGCTTAAACAGTAGCCTTACACATCGCAGCCGAAGTCGCCACCCACAAGTTAATGAACCGTTTGACGACGATTGAGCTGCTGTGCCAGTACTTTTGATGATTCGTTGTGGTCGCAGCAGTTTTGTTTATCGGGTGATCGAGTTGAGACGCCCCTCTCAGCCAGCATTTTCCGGCCTTCTACAGCACGGTACAGCATTGTGGCGACGCAATGTGTTGCAGGATTTGAAGTACATGGAAGCTTGTGGTGTAGCACCGGCAGATCTCGAATCATCAGATGTAGTTCCGGCTCTGGCTCTGACGCTCGTACGAAGCCATAGACCCTGCAGATCTCCCAGGCCATCCCAGATCCAAACCAAGCAGCATGGCTCGCGAACCTGTTTGCTCAAAGGCGCCGCTTGCACAGAACATGCGGCGGATGAGAACATGAGGTCATGTCTTCTCCGCGTATTCAGTCCAAGAGCTCCCAAGTAGTGATACTGCTTTCACAGCCTCTCACGCAAACTTTCCAGCACCCGAACCTCAGCCAAACCCTAAACCCGACCTAGACTCCAAGCCCGAAGCCATAAACAGGCCCTTGATCCCGAGACTTTCAGAACAGTGTTCTTTCTGATGCCTAGCCGGAAGCCATGCCGAGCGAGCTTTCAACACGTGTGGCACGCTTCTGCGATGCGCCCTTGTCAAAAGCATTGAGATGGAAGGACGTAACCAAGCAATACATGTATGGACATCGAGAACTCGGTGCTTTCAGTATATACTGCCAGTGTATAGGTGTCTAGGAAAGACACAATGGATGAGGGCAAGCCATCTGGTCTGTCAGGTACAGTACAGTAGCTAAGACCCTATCCAGCTAACAGATGAAATAAACACAACTGGGCATGAATAACACAAGGTAGATATGGGATACATAAATAGAAGGATAGACAGAAAGATAGACAGATAGACATTGACAGACCGACCGACAGATAGATAAATAGGTCGGTAGGTAGGTAGGTGGTTGGTTGGATAGTCGGTTAGTGGGCTTGTGTGTTGGTTGGTTTGTCAGTTCGATAGACAGATAGTACTGTTAGTTGGTTGGCTCGTTGGTTAGTAGGTTAGTGCGGTGGCTGGCTAGTTAGTCGGTAAGCTAGCTAGTCAGCTAGGTAGGTAGGTAGACACGTAGGGTAGTTACTTGGTTAGTTTGTTACATCGATAGGCAGATAGGCAGCTGGGTAGATGCATGCATATGGATACAGGCACAGAGACAGTCATACCGAAAGAGAGAGAGAGAGAGAGACAGAGGCAGACGTGGATGACCATATCGCCATATCGGTACTTTTTCAAGTTTCATGCACTACAGAGGAGGCTGTATCGCATAGTTCATGGTAGATGCGAATATTCGCGCCCTTTCATAATGACGCATCTGCCTTGATGTCAGCAGCGATGCAACGCATGTGTCATCGGTCCTGCGGATCAACGTATGTAGCACGTGCTACACAGCCAGCAGCACAGAGTACTATCGCACATTTTCCGAGAGAGGTTAAGGAGTCAAGGGTGTTGAGAGGATGTCACTTGAGGTTTCGGTGCTTCTGTTTGAGGGTTAAGACTAAGACTTCTTGGGTTGCGGGCCGCAGGCATCGAAATGTTTATGGGATTATCTACAGAGTTGTTGGTTTCTTGCTGTTGTTGTAAATTTCGGGTTTATGTTCGTTGTATCTGAGCGGCGATGTTGATATTATTTTTGTGAAAAAAGAAGTAGACCCGTAGCAGATCTCAAAGCACCAAGCTTTTACATTAGCCCTAAGCTCAGGTCTTCAACCTTGAACCTACCTGAAGCAGACGGTCCTGTAGTTTCCCAGGTCTCGGACGCAGACCGAGATGCCGCAGCTGAGGCGGCCGCCACAAACCTGGCAGTGCAAGGCACCGGGTTCGGCTTGGGTGCTGCTTGTTTTGTTGGGTTTTTGGGTTCGTTATTTTTGTGTTTCGTGGTTAAAGCTTCATGACAGGGACTTGAGGCCGGGAGTGTTGATTTTAAGATGCCAGAGATGGAGTGTTCCAGGGAGATATGAAGTCGGCCGCTAGTTATCACAGTCGCTAGTCACCAGTCATCATCGTCCGACTCCGCATACATATAGTAGTAGTGGTGGCGGCAGCGGTGGTGCCAGAGGATGATGGCAGCTCGCACATTGGCTGTTTGGAAGCAGTAGCAGTAGCAGTGGTAGTAGCAGTAGTAGCAGTAGTAGTAATAGTAGTAGTAGTAGTAGTAGTAGTAGTAGTAGTAGTAGTAGTAGTAGTAGTAGTAGTAGACTTCATGCGTTGTGCGGTTTCGGCCAGTGCAGAAATCTGGAACCATCAATTCGTTAACAAAATGCCGGCCTTCGCACGTTGTCACTGAGCATGCGATTGCTGTCGCCTTGTCGATTCTTTCGGTGTGAGGCTTCTGCGTGCTAGACTGCGGCTTCAAGGACAAAAAGAAGGACCGACGGCGTCACAACACAATTGATTCTTTTGAGGCTGGGGGATCTTGGGTGCTTTGAAAGCTCCATGCTTACAAAGTAGGACCACGATGACCAGGACGACGATGTAGTTGCTGTTGCTGATGCCCCTGCTGCTTGTTTTATGACCGGACTGAGCCCAGGACGTCCTGGACAAGGCAAGGGCCGATGCGGCAGCCTTGGACGAAGCTGAGGCCTTTTACCGGCCGGAGGACTGAATTTGAGCATTCTTGTTGTGGTCAGGCGGTTGCGTTTGGGCATGCTCTTATTGTTTCCAGGTTCAGAAATTATGGCGATGCCGCTGATAATGGTGAGAATTGTAATATGCATGAGTATCGAGATTCTGACCTGGGATGATCATGCTTCTCAATGACCATCTTGACAGCGATCTTTCTGTTAAAGACCATGTCTTGTATCTACTATGTTCTTACTATACGCTGTTATGCATAGGGTTTTATCAGTATTGTGTTCTTATTTCTATATGCTGATGATGATCGCAGTAATTTTTCACATCTTCGTGATAATCTGCAGCTTCTTGCCCGATTGCAACGTTTTCGGTCGGAACCCAGGAAACCCAGGGCACCCTGCATGTGTGTCTTAATGTTTGATCGTTTGTTTGTTCTGCTTTTTATGCGTCGGGTGCACTGATTGGAGATTGCACTGCAGTGTCCCCTCTTGAGGAGCTAGTTTTCACGGGCCTCTTTGGCGATGAGGGCTCTGCGCCTGGGCTGCGAAGGGGATGGCTCTCCTCTCGTCGATTTTCGTGTTCACTTCGGTGTTGTTTTTGCATCTGGACCAGCCGTCGGGTTGGATTCGGAGAGCCAGTGTTGGATTTTGAAAACAAGTACATTGAGTAAGTAGGACTTCAGTATTGTTGCTGTAGTGTACCTGAGCTCTCAAGCCCGATTGACTTGGGGACGAACAGCCCTGGGACACGGTCGAATCGCTGCCAGTGAGGTTCATGCATGGATGAAGGTGACGGGGTTGTCGAGGAGACAGTAAGAGACCAGAGAGTCAGATGGATAGGTAGGGCACACAGGCAGCATTGATCATGACTGAAGTTTGAGGCCAGAGATGGCCAGAGTCTAGGCAGCTTTTGTGGACCTGGCTGTGTGACCTTAGTGGGGGCTTTTGAGTTTGTTGCTGGGGTGTGCATGTCGGCGCATGTCGCCTCTTCCAGGCCCGCATAGCGCCGCTAAACCTTCGGGAGGAGCCAATGCGAGAAGGCTCGGGATCTAGCCGAAGCCGACTTGGATTTCAGGACCTGGTTTAGAGTTGCACTCGTCAGTCAGGACAGTTTGGATTCTGCGCGCCTAACCGTAAACCTAGTTCGGTGGGTGCTCAGATTGCCTTCGAGTTGCTCAAGTCGTAAAAGCTGCACTTGCAGTGAAATTATGGCGGATTTTTCCAAGCACTCCCTCTACCTAAGCACACAAAGGTCTATATGAGCTGCAATCAACTAGCACATTGGGGGTATGTAGCTGCTGGTGCACCTATGCAGATATGTATTTCGAGCATATAGCCGTCTACAAATGCAGATTCAGTGTAGATCGCTTCGTTGACAGCGTGAAAGTTAAAGCTTCACACAGAAACTTAAGTTACAGCAGGTGGAGAGCAGCGGTCAAGCCCCAAAGCAAAGCCTTCGATTCGCCATAAACCCGTATCCCTGAGCCGCGGAAGTATGAACAGGCCTGAAAGCCATCGATGCCGAGATGACTGAGCTTGCACAGGCTCAGGGCTCGGGGTTTGGAGTGCACTTGGTGCTTCATGCACCTCCAGAGATCAGTTGCTCCATGTCAGAATTTGCCACTGTAGTGGTGAAGGCATTGGTCTTTCTTGCGTGTGGAGTTCATTGGCTCAGCATCGTGTATCTTCACGGCCCTAGCTCGCACGTTGCAGATTCGTGCAGCACTTCGGGCTTCTCACAAACTGTCATAAACACGATGGTCAATGATCCCTAGGCCCTAGGCTTTACAAGCTCTTCGGAGGTCGCGGCTCCCTTCATCTCCTTCAAGATGGGGCTAGAGATCGTCTCCAGAGCACGCGCACTTTGGCCTTGTTCAGGAGTTGGAGCTTACAGAGGCAGGAAGAACATGCCTAAGACTAGGCTGAAGCAAAGCAAGACAAATGGGCACAAGACGGACGCGGCAACCGCCAGCACCACTACGACGACCCCGGCAACCACCATCAAGGCCAGGCGGCGCCGACGGAGCCGACGACGATTGCAGCGACGACCACGACGACGACGACGACAATGCAAATATATTCACGAGCACGAAGGGCGCATGGCTAGTGACTGTAACACATGTATCATCAAACGACTAATATTATCTTGTCAGGTTCGTTAACATTCGCACCATCGCGGTCGCTATCGGCATCATCACCATCATTATCATCATCCTCGCTGTGATAGTTGGGGCTCAGGAGTGGATCTGTGAGCTTTGTTAAGTTGTGAGGCAAGTCCACTTCAAAGCCGAATAGTGCACTGCCAACTGTGTACATGTTTTGAAGCAGCAGTGCCCTCCAGGCCTCTGTGCCTCAACTCGGGATGTGTTTCGCCCCAATTCCGTAGCCTGATCCGCAACATCACAAGACCTCGTGTGCCGAGGCTGTGCTCCATGAGACTGGGCCGCTTGAGGGCGTCATACAGAAGCTGACCCCCAGTGAGGCCTTCCGCCGGGAGCATAGGACCGAACGTACGTGTCAGGATTCGTGTTTTCAAGGGTTACAAGACGAAACATGGCATGCTCCGATATAACATGTGATGCAGCACGGTTCAGATCGAGGCAGTGACAAGCAACTTTATGTGTTGTGTCTCCCAGAGGATGATCAGTGGTTGTCCAGCATATTACGGTATGTTACAGCCCGTTCAGTGAAGACTTACATGTTGCAGTATGTCCAAACTGTGTGTGTGTCTGTGAACTAGACGGTTCGTGTTGCGAGATCTCACCAGCCAGGCATCGATGTGGCTGAACGACTTTCGCTTCGGGCGTGTGTGGGGCTCAATGCGGAACATCGGAGCTGCACCAGGTCGTCATCCCCAAGCGTGAAGGCCCAAGGCCGAGCGTAAAACAGCACAGCCAGTTGCTCTCGGCCCGAAGCTCCAAGTCACACTTTCAAGTTTTTGCTCCTCGACCCTCTCACAGATCTCGGAAACCGTGGATCGACCAAAACACCGAACGACCCTATCACCTGGCAACAAGAACTGGAATCAAGTTTTGGGGCATCTCATGCTAGAATGGAAATGTTCATTGAACCAACTCGATCTCTGTGAAGCAATGCCGTGTTCGATTGTGCTCCATCGGCAATGTCCGCCATGAGGGCTGACATCGTTGCATACCTGCGGCAACAGGGGTCGAAATCGGCCAGTCGGCTGGACTGGGACGTCTCCCTCATCGGGAGGTTCGCAGGAGCCTTGCGCCCAAGCTTGGAGGCAACGGAGCTTGGTCAACAGCTTTGGCGTCCCCTGGAACGGACGCGCTCAACGTCGATTTCCTTACACTTGGATCGGCCGTCTTTTCGATCGGGCACTTGTCTTTGTTGAGATGCTCGGAAGGTTCCGAAGAATTGGGATCAGCCCTGCGATCGGGCCGATGCATGCGATTGAGTTCAAGATGCGCTTGCGCCCAGTTAGGAGTTCCGTACTTGCCTTTTCGACGTTTTTGCAATCGTCCTAAAGATGATGCCGCAATAGTGGTTGTAAGAGTGGCAAATTTTGGCTGGCGCTGACGTCCTGGTCGAAAGCAGAAACCTGATGTTGTCTGAACTGACCCTCGATCGGGAAGTCATCTGGATGTGGTTGGTGCCAGATCCAAATGACCTCCCGATGGAGCTGGGGTCTCCGCTTGCGACCAGGACATCACGTGCTTTTCGCGGATGTGTGGGACGCGGAATGAGTCACCCCCACATACAGGCAAGTAGAGATCATAGCCACGAGATCAGCTTCACAGACCCTGCCATCTCAATAGGTGTGGAGAGTGTGCTGCCATTCCGCGGCCAAGAGCGGACCTGCTTAAGGACGGTCTCTTTGCGGCTTCTGTTTCAATTCGTGCTTCCAACCTCAACACAGCAAGCTTTGGTATTGGGAATGCGGCTTTGCTAATGATCTTCCTGCCGGCACCGTGGTTGTTCGGGTTCCAAACGACCAGAAGGGATGTGGCGACTGGACTTTGGGCGGCATTGGTTGTGCGGAGAGGGTCCTCGTGGAGCGGAGGCAGAAGCGGCGCAGGAACAAGCGATGTGGACGAAGGACAAAGGCTTCGTCCAAACTTGAGGCCTCGTGCGCTTATTCACGCCAACAACGGGAATCTGTGCGCCACTGGGCCTCAAGTAGAAGTGGGCGAAGACTTGCCGCAAGGAGTGCCGGCGATCATTGGGATGGTGGGTTTCGAAGGATACTCATGGAAGCTGCTCCTGAATCTCGTCATCCCTAGCGGCTGGATCGCCGCGGTCTTCATGTTAAGTGGAGAGGCGGCCATCTTTGGTCTTCCTCGTTGTTCTGTGGAGCGGATGGATGCCGTATGTCGAGCCCGTGATCGATTGTGTCGTGGCACACTGATGTGGAAATGGGTGAAAAAGTTCAACAGCCCCACGGAAATAGAGGCAGCTTGGCCAGAACTTCGTGAGAAGTCGGTTCGTATTTGGACTTACCACAGGGGCCGCAGGCAAGGCTGCAGGACGAGTGCACAGAGCTCTGGGGGCAGCTTGAAGAGGTGGTACACACAGAGCTCTGGCCAATGATGCGCCACAGTCTTTTCACACATGAAGGAGCAACTGCTGCAGATCTTGTCCCACGATACAAAAACTGAGGACCTCGAGCTTCCACTTCCACCCATGCCCGATGAGTAGACCCGTGTGACTGGGGAATGCAGCTAGGAGTTCAGGACGATTCGCTGACATTGCAAGGTTTTCCAGGCGCTGGACCTCGGGCCAACCCGATGCCAACGTTTGGCTTTGTCAGGTTTAGGCATTTGCTACGGTGTGATTTTCTGGGTTTCAATTTTGAACATGGCTGAGCGTGGCGAGGCGACAGGAAGAAGTATGCCATTGGTGACCAGTGCTATGGCTTGTAACTTGTGGGTCTAGACATCATCAGAACCATTTCCCAACGTTCAGCCGCTCCTGCGTTTGCTCTTGAATCAAGCCAGTTCAAGCCCAGAGCAAGGTCATGTGTGTTGTGTGCATCGGGCCGGGCTACGGCGAAATGGAGCTGAAGCCGTACGCGGAGGTCGCTTGGGCAGAATCAAGAGTCAGGTGAGGCGAAGTAAAGTGCAGATTCGATACTATATCGATCTCAGATGCAGCGGACCGCGCGTCGCAGGTATCTACTTGTGGCTCGAGGTTTCGGGTCAGGATCTGTGGTCTGGCTCGCAGTTTGATGTTACCGCGTCAAAACATCACAGGGGTACGAAGAACCATTACCAACCCCGGCGACGTCGAACTCAAATCCCCATTTCGCCTCGGACCCGAACTTGAACTCGTACTCGAATGCCAGTCCCCAACCTACCGGATCGCCAGAGCCTGGCATGTGCCCACATCTCCAAGTCGGAGTCCTCCTTTTTTGCTTTGCCCCGCGCCAGGAAGAGGCGAAGCCTTTGAAGGTCACCGCTGTCCCTGGGACGGCCGGGGCCTCAGAGTTTGGGGAGAGAAGGCCTTGCTTGTGCTTTTTTCACAGGAATCAAAAGCCCAGATCCCCAAGGCCTAAGCTCGGTTTGCTTGCGCCCGAAGTGATTCACTGACAGTACCGACAGTCAGTAGTGTCCTTGCAACGCTGTTGTGGCAGGTAATTTTTGCATTCGATTGCCTTGGGCGGCCGGCCTGGGCATTTCTGTCTTATTGCAACTCGGTCCAGGTGCTGATGGTACGATCCGACAAGCTTCGTGTCAGACACCTCTGCCGGACGCGGACGCTACTGCTTAGCTGCTTGTCGAGCCAAAGGAAGGTTGCCGAGTTGGACTGTTCTGGAAGCAGAACCCTGCAAAAAAGATCTTGAGTCAGCTGAGCCGGTACCACGAACACAGAGCAAAATGTTCACGTAGCTTCAACAGAAACACCGTCGAAAGTGCATTCAAGCATAGAGGCATAGAGTGCAGTAGTTCAACATCCAGATCCGGCTGTAGACACGAACGGCTTGACCTCAAGTCCTCGACTGCCAAGTCTCGCCGAGGCTGCAATCTGCAAGCATCCGGCGGTACCAACGCACGGCTCGCACCCAACCCCTGTGCTGCGAAGCTCCAGGCTCCGGGTGGGGCCTCAAGGGTTTAAGTTAGGAAGTTTGCAAAAAACAGCCTTGCAGTGGAGTTGAGGGTTTCAAGAGGTTTCCAAGTTGAGGGAGTATTTCAGATTCTCGACTTTTCTCTGAAATGGTCTGTGAGGGCTTGTCAAGGCTTTCTCCGGAGAACGGGACTCTCTTGCAATTAATTGGTCAACTTGGAATGACTATGCGGCCGAGCTCGTGGTTGCCCACGTTTGGCAGTTACGAGGGTCTCGGGCTCAACTTTGTGGGAATTGAGATGTATTCATTGTCGGACGGTTGGTTGGTGTAGGGTCTACTATGAACTTGAATGCTGAGGTCATCTTCCTGTTCGATTCTGCACTTTTTGTGCTGCCGTCTGTCTCTCGAGCAGACGCAGTCGGAGTTAGGTGTGAAGCAATGGACCCTGAGTTCGCTGATTTGCTCATTGAGCAGCGACCACCCGTCCGATTGTGGCTCGACGGGTTGGGAGTCTCATCAGCTTCTGATCTCCGCCACTTTTGGGCATCCGCTGGCGATCTGGCCGAAGAGTGGACTGCTGGGCCCGGCAAGACATTAGATCCTGACATTGCTCTGGAGGTCGTTGCTCTTTATCAGAAAGCCAAGTCTAGGGCGGAGTCTGCCTTACGTTCGACTGTGCGAAAGCTGACCCTGGAAAGGCAGTCCAGATTCGAACCAAGCAGCTCCGTTAAGAGAACTTCTGATGTTTCGCTGCCCCTCGCGACCCCTAAGGCTAAGATATTGATTCCGCACCGGCACGCAGCAGCACCTGTGCCCGTTATCACAGTTGCCGATTCGGGGGCACAACCTGTGATCAGTATTCAAGAACAGAAGCCGAAGAAACTCCTTGCGCTGTTTATGCTGGCTTGCGAGGTTTTCCTCAGCCTGGCGGACGTGGGGGCCCAGGGCCTCGATTGGTCGGATGCATCGGCTGTAGCTGAAGTCGCAGGTCGTGCCATGGTCGGGGCGCAGAGACTTTCAGTTCGGCGCATTAGTGGGCTAGCGGCTACACTTAGGCGCTGGAAGTCTTTTGCTAATGACTTGGGCCACGACATTTCTGTGCTGTCTCCTGATCGGGTCTCTCAGTTCCTGCTCAGGGTGAGTCAGGGAGGACCGACAGCAGCATCTGCTGTGTTCGCTGGGTTTCGATGGTTCAATGAAAACTTGGGGGCTGGTTTCCCTCTGTCCCATTTTCTTGTAAAACCTTTCCGCTTTCATGCGGTCGGCCATACAGCAAAGCAAGCGGCCGAGCTTCAGCCGTGGGAGTTTCTAAATCTTGTCCGGATTTGCAGCGAGCTGACAGGTACGCCGAGGGTGCTTGCCCTCTTTGTGCTGCAGGCCGCGGTGTCGTGTATCCGCTTTGAACACTTCGGCCGATCTGTGCTGCTGAAGGATCACGGTTCTTGGTTAGAATTTCGATGTTCCGAGGGCAAATCGCGCAAGAAGGGGATTCGCCCGGCTTACAATTGGGCCACCCCGGCTCTTAGGTTGTATGGCGTTGATTTAACAACTGAGCTCCGAGCTTTCTTCAAGAATGAGGCCTTGCCGGAATCTCAATTTTTGTGGCCGGCAATTCAGCTCTCGCGACATGACCTTTGGCAGGTCACAGAATCCTGTCCTTTCTTGCTTGATCGGAAGCTTTCGGGGCCACGCTTTCTGGAGGTTTTTCGGGGTTTGCTTTGTCGGTGTGGGGTTCCACCGGCAGCAGCGGCCGTTGCGGGATTTAATCGTCTTCGACGCTTCCTGCCGACAGGCGCTCAGATCTTGCACTTGCACCCTCAGGAAGCCCAGGCGATTGGATCTTGGGTTGAGATGCCGTCGGCCGGCCCCGGGACGGACGCAGCTCAGCCGGCCCGACGGGTTGATCTCATGTCTACGCACTACTCAGGAGAACGAGTGTTGGCTAGCATGAGGGCTAAAGATAAGGTTTTGCGTCAGGTCGTGCGACACGACATGGCCAAGGCTTCGAGCCTTCTCCCGATTGATGCGCTCAGGTGGCCGGCTCTTTCTGGGGTTGATAGTCCCGAACCCCGCCTCTCCTCCGCCGAGGCCCTACCCCTACCTTGTGTTCAGGGTTCCGATTCAGAGTCGTCTGATGACACATCATCGTCGAGTTCAAGCTCCAGCTCATCGGCTTCGGCGTCGGATGATGTGGGACTCCTAGCAGCTGTGGAGTGGCTACGGCAGGGGCAGAGGACTCATATTGTGCGTGAGAGGGACCTGGAAGGTCGTCTCGTGCCTTGGTGCAGGCAGAGCGCTTTCACTCAGGACCCGTCTTCGACGGGCCAGGCTTCGAACCTAAAGCCGTCGGCTCGCATCTGTCAGCGTTGCTTGACACGTATGCCATCTGCGCTACGGTCAGCCCTGCAGGCGGCCTTGAACGAGATATGAAAATCGGAGCTGTGTGAGGTTGTCAGTCTTCGCTGCTGTGCGCAAGTCGTGCCTCCGACACTTTCGAGACTTATGCTTGAAGGCTTGAGCTGCCCAGTACCTCAGCAGTTGCCCTTGCTTCCCCGCCTTAGATTGCTCATGGATTCAGCTGGTGCATCTCACGACACCACGGGCCAACTCCCGCCGTGGCGTGAGCCGCGGACATGGACCTTGCCTCGGAAGCTCAGGCGGCGGGGCTACAAGCTGTTGGGCCACTGCCGACTGATGTGTCGCGGGGGCTGTGGTTTCGCCTGCAGTAGACCTGTGGCAGAGTGCGGAGGACCGGGACACAAGAAGCACATTTGCTCTGTGTGTCGGGCATCGGGGCCCAATCCGCCACCGGGCCGTTGGCCGTGGTGTCGGCCGCTTCGCTGGTCTCTCCCACGTGGCTGCCGGGGACCTGGTGTAGAAGTTGTGGGATGGTGCAGGCAGCCTTGCAGTTTTGGATGTGGGCTGGCATGCTCGCGACCACTTGCCGGCTACCAGGGTCAGGAGTGTCGCCCGGGCCATCGCCATCACGAGTGTGCTCGATGCAGTCATGCCGTGAGCGGAGCCCAGACCTTTGATGTTATCTCTGTCAGCTCCGGCCAGTCGGTACAGGACCGTCAGACCGAGCTAGACGAGATGGATTGACGTGTGAAAGCCTGCCGGAGTGCTGGGGTCTTATAAAGGTTCTTGTGCTCAGCTTTGGTTTTCACGTGCGAGCGCCGCACAGCAGCACCGCTTGGGCGCCCTGGGCTCTTTAGCTGTTTTCCAGTTTTGTGAGGATCCCTCCAACTTGTTGCTGCCATGTCGGGCGCAGCTCGCGTTGACCTGCAGGCTTCGGACAAAGGTCTTGCATCATGTATGGCCATGTGCAACGTTACTCGAGCCTGGGCCGACGCTTTCATTGGGCACCATCGCCTGGAGTCGTTAGAGGACTTTATCTACATCGTGGACCGCTCCAAGTGGGAATCCTCGCTGAAGGAACTGGCCGATGAGGTTGCACCTTTGAAGGACAATCGCCTTGCCTTAGCCCGTCTGAAGGCCGCCTACGAGTCGGGTCATGCTGCTATACAGAATGCCCAAGCAGTTGAGAAGTCTGATGTCTCTGACCTTGATCAGCCGATCCCTGAGAACTACTTCCAGCAACTGGATCAGGAGTGGAAGCGCTCCTATGGCATTCGTATCGAAGCACATCTTGATCCTTGTGACGCGCTGCGGGGGCGCATTTGGCGGGAGCTCAGGAGGCGCACACTGACCCTCCTAGACATGCGAAAAGTCAAGTCTGTGGTCGGCGGGTCGTCGCCCTTGGATGAGGAGCGTATCACCCTGGAAGGGGGAGTGAGCCTTCAGTTCGCAAAGGAGGGCTACAGCTCCCCGAAAAACACTATCGAGTACTACCTGAGGCTGCGGACTCTTTGCTACGCCTGGGCCTTCTGTGGTAACTTCAAGCAGAAGTGCTTGGATGGCACCGATCGCCTGGTCATGCCGTTGCAGGTGGCCCTGGATTACGCGGACTTCGCTCTCCGCCATACCTCATCGTATGGCAACGGGGCCCTGCCATGGCTGCAGAGAAACGACACACTTACGCGTGGTAACATGTGCGCTAAGGTGAGGCGGGGGCTTACGGCGGCCGTTGCCTTGGAGGAGGCCCTCCGTGAAACTCACTTGGAGTGGAGGTCGCCAGGTGCTCGGATGTCTGAGCCTTCCCAAGTGTTGGAGACTCCCGAGCGGCCGCTCAAGCGCAAGCATCCAGACCTGGCCACAACGCCCCCACCGCCACCGGCGCCATCGGGAGGCCGCGTGGTCACGGTGAGCATGGCGAAGGGAGGCAGGAGATTGTGCAAACCGTTCAATGACTCACGTGGATGTACAGACAAGCATTGTGATGCCATCCACGCGTGCGACGTTAGGTTGCCAGATGGATCTGCTTGCATGAGTCGGTCCCATAATCGTTTGGGCCACAAATTTTCCTGAGGGGGGGACCCGTCCCCGGTGGCCTCAGGGGAGGGCCCAGCACACGTGTGTGAGGCCATGGCTGATTCGAGACTTCTGGATGTGGTGACAGGAGCCCGAGGTGATTCATCAGTCGTGGCCGAGTCACTGGTCCAGAGAGCTGACTTCTCAGAGGCAGCATGCTTGTCTCTTCTTCAGCTGATGTTCCCAGTGCCGACTCAAAACCGGCGTTGTGAGGTCTTAGGGGACAGTGATGTTGTGCATTACTTTGTGCTCGGGGTGTTCTCCCGGCCCGGTGCCACTGGTGTCACAACAAAGACCCGCCAGTCTTCTGCTGAAGTGAGGTACCTGAATATGTGGATGAGGCGCCGATTCCCTGGGCAGCAGTGGCTCAGTATCGCTATTTCCCATAATCAGGTCGCACTGCCACATACTGACGACAGGAATGCCGAGGGCTCTCTTAACCATTCGGTTTGTTTGGGGGATTTTCAGGGCGGACAGCTGTGGCTCGCCGATGAGCGCGACGGTGATGTGGCCCTGACTCTGCCAGGCACCGACCGGACTGTGATGGGCAAAGCCGTGAACAATCATGGTTCAGGTTTTTCCTTTTGTCCTCGAAGGCTCCATGCTTCTTTGCCGTGGTCGGGTGACCGCTGGGCAGTTACGGGATTCACACCTTCCAATGTTCAGGGTTTGTCTGAGGCGGATCGCCGTCTGCTTCTGAACCTCTTGTTTCCCGGCCCTGTTTCCCCCGATCATAATTCGGCTTGGTCTCGGGTTGTCAAGGCCAGTTGCCCCGCGAAGGATACACTTCATGGGGACAATGGTCCGTCAGGCACCCCCCGTAAGGTGGAGTTGTCCGACGGTGCGGACTCCTCAGGTACGAGCAATGCTAGTCAGGAGCAGCAGTCCAGTCAAAACCGCCTTATGAGCCCTTCGCTTCCCGATGTTCAGGCGCTGGCAAGTCGTATGGCTGCGGCTCGCCCGGTCACATGGCGGGGTTCGGGTGATCTGCTCCAAATTCCCGGTCTTAGGCCGCCTAGTGGGGCGTGGCTCGTGCTTGACCTTTGGGCTGGTTTTTCAGGGTTGTGCATTGCGCTGCTCTCTTTGGGGCTTCACTTCTATGGGCTCGCTGCGGAATCTTCAGCCGAAGCTCGTGAATGTGCCCGGAGTGTGATGCCATCCTTGGTGCATGTCCCTGACGTGCAATGTGTTTCAGTGGAGGCGCTCCTCCCCCTTGTGCATCGCCGTAAGCTTCGCGGAATAATTGTGGGGGGCGGAAGCCCATGCCAGCCAAACTCTGCACTGAACGGAAACAGGAAGGGCTTGCGGGACCCACGAGGCCATGCTCCGTTTTTTCTGCAGAAGCTTGTGCGATCTCTTCTCGAGCATGAGGCTTTCAAGCATTTGGAAGTGATTTGTTTCCTTGAGAATGTTGCGAGTGCTCCTCACGAGGTCGTGTGTCAGTACTCCAAGTGGCTGGACTGTCAGCCCGTGCGAGCCGATGCTGCCTCGTATGGTTGGACGTCTAGGAATAGGCTTTACTGGCTCAGGGGACGCAACCGCTCTTTGACTTCTGCTGAGCCGCCCGCCGGGTGGTCGTGGTTCCACGAGCCCGGTGTCCCCGTGACCTTGTGCTATGAGGTGAAGAAGCCTATACCGCCCCGCATTCATTTTCAGGACGGGTTCCAGTGGATCTCGGACCCGTTGGCGGTGATGAACGGACAAGCGCCTGCGGGTTTTACTTTCACACGGGAGTTCTTTCATCCTACGGACTTAGTGCACACAGTTTCTCCTGATGCGGCAGCCCGTTTCAGTCAGGACTCCCAGAGGTTCCCGCCAGGGGCTTACGAGGCCCACTCATTGGTGTGGCGGCGCACCGATTGGAGGCAGCCAAATCCTTCCGAACGGAGTCAAATGCTGGGGGTCCCAGCCGCGGCTACAGAGGCGGTGCAAGGCCCTCCGGCAAAGCGGGTGCAAGCGCGGAATTCCCTGCTGGGGAACGGGTTTCATGTTCCCTCCATAATGGTTCTGTTTGCAATGTTGCCCCAGCTTTGCGACTCCCGCTGTCAAATCCCTCGCACATGCTCGGATCCCTTGAGAGGTCGGCTTGTGAATACGGTTTGGGAGCCAGGTCGACTCTCATCATTTCCAGGGCTCTTGGATGCTCATGAGGTGACCGAACATATGCGCTCACAACTTCGGAATTGTCATGTGCACGACTCGGTCTGGAAATCTTGTGAGTGCCGACTGGCGGCTTGTGATTTGCCTCTTATGCAGGCCTTTGCTGCTTGGCAGTGTATGCGAGGGATGGACCATACGTTTCTTCCTCCTGCACTCTTGCATGCTCGCACTCGATCACGCATTTACGCCGGCAACTCCGGTCAAAGGTATTCCTCGGAACACGCGAAGGGGCTTGATCACTTGTTGCCACCCGGTTTGGGGAAAGAAGAGCACATGCGCCAGTCCTTGGAGTTGTCTTCGCCCTTCGAGGCGACGCCATGGCCTGACGATGACGTCCAGTTCGTGGCTTACTCGATTGCGGTGTGGAGAGATGAACTCCCTGTGTTGGCCCAGCGCCAGCGCCGTGTCTTGCAGACCTTGCAACAGGCGGTGGAGCCTTTGCGCACCGCGCTGCAAAAGCTGCTGTGTCCTAGCGCACTCAAGGTATCTCCTGACAAGAATGCGGCTTTCGTGGCTCTGCTGACGGCGATTCTTCGTTGGCCCGATCATGGTCAGGCCGAGTGCTTCGTTCATGGCTTCCCCATTGTCGGTGAGGTCGCTTTTTCGGGAGTCTTCAGGCCCGTTGGGTCTGGACAGGCGGATACAACTGAGACTGTAGAAGATTGGCTGCTGCGTGATGGCCAGCAGGCTGTTGACTCCCTGCTTCATTCGCCACCGCCGAGGTGTGCGACGGAGATTCTGGAGCAAACACAGCAAGAGCAGGCCAAAGGTTTCTGTAGCCAGTTTTACACTCGCGCTGAAGTGGATGCACTATTCGGGCGCGGGCGGTGGAGGCCCATGGAGCGTTTTCTATTGGTCCAGGGTGACAATAAGAAACGCCTTGTCGACAACTGCCGAAAAACTGAGCACAACCAGCACGCTTCCTTGTTCGAAACGATCCACACGGTCAGCATCGACTTTGTCGCGACTTGCATTCGAGACACCTTCAATTTTTTGAGGCGTCATGATTGTGACCCGGGGAGCGCTGACTGGTTGGCGACCCGTCTGGGCACGGACGATTTGCCTGATGCCTATCGAGGACACCCCGTGTCGGATCGGCACCTTCCCTTGAGTGTGGTTGCAATCTACGTGCCGGCAACGGGATGGCGATTCACAATCTTGTATGGCCTCGCATATGGATTGGAGGCGGCCGTGGTGGCCTTCAACCGGCTGCCAATGCTAGGTGTCGCTGCGGCCCGGCGGTGCACTTCGGCCATGTGCGCCGCGTACTTCGATGACGAGTTGTCAGTCGAGTTTCTCCTCTGCCAGGATGTTTCTAGGTTGGGGTTGCACCTTTGCTTTCGGTTGCTAGGTAGTCCCCCTCAACTTGCCAAACATTTCCCTCCGGCGGCAAATCGGCACTACTTGGGCACATCCGTGCATGTGGGATCCGCGAACTTGAGTTTGCAGGTACGCTTTCAGCCAAAGTTCCTCACTCGCTGTAAGGTCTTGCACAGCCTGGATACTATCCTGGCGGCCGGCGTTTTGGATCGCGATGGCGCAGGCAAACTTAGACGTGACTTGCAGTGGCTCTTCTCCATGGTCTCTGGTCATGCGGGGAAGATCGCAGCACCGACTCTGGCTCGCCATCAGAAGGGAGATGATCCGTCTTTGACCCCCGCGTCTAGGAGTGTTTTGATTGCCCTCAGGCACATGATCTCTCACGCCACGCCCAGGGACGTGGATGTCTCCCAGAAGTGCAAGCCTGTCACCACGGTTTACACGGACGCCTCCTTTGAGGACCATGAGCTGCGAGTTGGGTGGGTGATCTTTCCGCCTGCTCCACTCCGTCCGTCAGCTGGGACGTGTGTCGTTCCTCCTGAGGCCATCCGTGAGTGGAAGGAGCGCGATCAACAAATTTTTATCGGTGAGACTGTGGCGGCTCTGATCGTCCCGCTGCTACAGCCTGCCTTCTTCGAGCAGGCGGACGTTTTATGGTTTATCGATAATTCTGCTGCGGTGTCTACCACTATCAAGGCATCATCTCGTCAAGATGACGTGCATGAAGTGGCAGTGGCTGCTGCTTGCGTGCGGGCACAGCTTCGCTGCCGCGCCTGGTTTGAATGGATAGACTCTGAAAGCAACCCAAGCGATGGGTTGAGCAGACTGGGACTGCGCGACGACTGGAGTCGATCTCAGAACTGGGATCTCGTGGAATACACGTTTCCGGCTAGCGCTTTTCGGACCCGGATTCTCGAGTGGCTGCTTCAGTGAAACAATGGGTGTACATGCACTGCGAGGGTTGAGTGTTGCTTGAAACATTGGGTGCATGCGAGAGTTCGTCTCCATCACTTCTTAAGTGAATTGACTCACATTGGTGGTCATTCATTTTGGACCCATCGTCAGTGATGCATGGTGTTTCACTGATGCCGCTTCGATGTACGTCTGCATTCTGTATTCATTGTCGGACGGTTGGTTGGTGTAGGGTCTACTATGAACTTGAATGCTGAGGTCATCTTCCTGTTCGATTCTGCACTTTTTGTCCCACCCTCCCTCCCTTGATACCTTCACGGGTTGATTGGGAGTTGGGTCCTTGAGGACTCGATCTTTCTCTTTACGCTGTTGCTTTGAGGAGATCAAGGGGACTTCGGCCCCTACCCAGGGGTGCATGCGAGAGTTCGTCTCCATCACTTCTTAAGTGAATTGACTCACATTGGTGGTCATTCATTTTGGACCCATCGTCAGTGATGCATGGTGTTTCACTGATGCCGCTTCGATGTACGTCTGCATTCCTTAAGCGTTCTTGTGAACACATCCGCAATTGCGCAGAGGGTAAGCAGCCAGTCTTTCTGAATCGTGGTGCTCTTTTTGCGAGTGCATCAAGACAGAGCCTTGGTCCCGAAGAGAGCTCTTTGGGTAGATTCGATTGCTCAAGCACGCTTTCACTTGCTACTTGTACCGTGTTTTCATTGCGCTTATTTCCTGTCGCCTCCAGCCTCTGCTCAGAGACCCACATCATCCCACACTGGTAGTCTTCGACTTCAAGCACTTGTGGAGTAGAAGCCCAGTGAGCTCCAGTCATACCATTTCATATCCTGACGCATCTGCGGCATAAGTTGTCCAAGAGTCTATTCAGCCTACACGCTTACTCAGGCCTCGAAAGATCTACCAGCTAAGCCATAGGAGCCCAGGTGTGGCTTGACGAGCGGCTGCACAACCTCAAGCAAGCAGCCCCTTGGCAAAGCTTTGCGGGTTTCCTATGCCACAACCCTGCACCACTCTGGGATGCTGCTGGCTGCACGTTTGCAAGCCTCTGCTCTCATAGATACTACCGACAAGTTCCGGACCACAAAGCTAAATCACATGCTTTCAGGAGACGGAGGACCGCCGTGCCGAGCTGCCTCGCCACCTGCGGCTGGCAATGCACCGTGGCGAAAACCGCGTCATCACAGGCCTTGGACTAGGTTTGAATCCTTCGTGGCCAGGCGGTTAAAATCCGTCCTACGATTCAGCGTCGTCGTCGTGCTGCTTTGGGACGAGGCCCTGCGAACCCGACCTCTCGCCACCTGGCACCGAGGAACCGCCAGTGCTTCAAGGGGCAGTACATGGCAGTCAGAGGCGAGGGTCGAGTGGGATTCCTGCACCACATCGCTGCCTGAGGTCTGACCACTACCGCCAGTCTCAGTCTGCTAGTGGCGGTACTGGTAGCTGCTACATTCCGCTTGACACTGCAAGTCCTGAAATTCTGGCTTAGCGTGGAATGGTGCGATCGCAGCATAGGCCTCGCGAGCCGTGTCGCACCTTGCTGGGGCCCTGAGACCTTTTGGTGCGGCCGGGGGCTGAGCCAGACAATGTCTCGAGCTGTCATGCCTGAAACACTTCGAGGCTGCTGTGTTTAGTTTGGTTATTGAGTTGTGTTTGCCTTTCCTTTCTTTCCGCCCACAGCATGACACCCTTTTAACTTGACAGTCTTTTTGGCTTGCAGCGCGATGGCCGAGTTTTTGTTTTACCTCGCAGTCGGACTCGCAGCATGCCTTGTTTTGCTTGGCGTCAGTGCTTTCCATTCCGGTGTCGTGTTCTCTTGCACAATGGTCTGTGCAGTGCCTTGTCCTCTATGGTGGGTAGGGCGGGCTTGAGCAGTAAGGAGCCACAGGCTGAGGCGTCGGGATCAGGAGTTTCGGGTATCAGGATGTTGGGTTCGAGTGGGCTCTAGGACCGAGGGTGGGTGGACATCGGGGGATGGAGCGAGGGAGTTGGGATTGACACCTTAAGACGGTTTTGAGTTTTGGGCATAGCGAAGGAAGAGTGTGAGTCGAAAGAGGCGAGGCTTTGAGGTTTTGTTGGGATCGGCGCTCGTACCGTCGAATGTGGGGTCAAGAGGCTGCAAGCACGGACTCTTCATGCAAACCCGATGCGGCATTGTAGCCCACACGTGACTTAAGCAACCCTTCCCATGTATGACGGCCGCAGTGGGTGTGAAGACCGCGATCGCTGCAGCCTGGAGTCTTCTCTAGGCCGGCTCAAGACGCCACCAGGATGAGGTCTTAGGCGCTCCACTTGTGTGGGGTGCAGCCTGACTGACGCCTTTCGCAATGCTGCTATCGAAGATTTGTTTCGCCGTCCCTCTTCTCGTGCGCCGTGGCGTGGGATGAAGAGGTTCTCCTTCAGACTAAGGATTCCTTCGGCAGCTCAGGGGCTGAAATTTGCAGATCTTCGCAGCTCAGGCACCTGGGCCATGGGAGTGGCTTTGTTGTCGCACCCGCAGAGGTCTTGAAGCAGCGCCTCGGCGGCTTCACGGGATGTCTCGTGCCTCTGAGGGCCAAGGAATTTTCTGGCCTTCCCAGAGGGAGCAAATGCAGTCAAAGAGGCATGGAAACTTCGGAAGTGGCTTGCAAGGATGACCACCATCATGGACCCCCTGCAGCTCGAGTCCTACTACGGCGGCCCCCAGGCGTTTCTCCTCGTGGTGATGCCGCCCGGCCTAGTGCCAAATACATCAGAAACCCAACCTCGCAACCCTCAAAAAGACTTACCTCCGCAGCCCATACGAGCCCAGGCCCAAAGCATCCAAAGCACCCCAAAGCCCTCAACTCCTAGGCTTTTCCGCCTTGCCGGTCTCTTCGAGGTGCTGGTGGCACTGGGAGTGCCACTGGGCCCGCATGGAACAGTAGCCATTTCACGCTCTCCGCACAAAGCTTTTCTCTTGTTGCTAGCATCCAGCTTCTTGCTGCCTCCTGGCCTTAGGCCCCGGAATGGCTCCAGCTCAGATCACAATCATGTTAGGCTAGGCCGGCATGGTCTGACTGCTTTGGGCCTTTGGCCTTAAAGCAGCCGGAAAGCAAAGTCTGCACCTGCAACGCATGTAGTATAACAAGCCCCAAGCTCTGAAACCTGAAGCCCCGAACCACGGCCTGAAATCCTGAAATCCCACGCAAGATATTGAACCGCCAGCTGCAAGAGCTGAGCTCGGAAGCTTCAAGGCTACTGCTCGGGGACTCGAAGATGGGACACATGATTATGCTCCTTAGCTTCATTGGCTTCAAATTGTTACTATTATTTTATTATAATAATTATTATTATTATAAGAAAAAAGAAGTAGTAGTACTAGTAGTAGTCGTGGTCGCCGTCGTAGGCGTGGTCATAGTCGTCGCGGTTGTGGTCGTAGTCGTAGCCGTAAGTTTGTGCGCAAGTAAAGTATTTAAGTAGCAGTAGCGTCAACAAATCTGGCGCCGTGAAACAACAGGGTTCGACTAATGGCCAATTCCCTGCATTTGCTGCAAGATCGCAGGTCCATCGACGCAGACGGTGCCAGGATGTGAGAAGCTGCTTTCTGCAATCTTCCTGAAGCCCAGGCTTGTGTTCGGCGTGGTGAGCATGCTGGCGCTGGCCACTTCCACGGAGGCATTCGCGTGTGCGGTGTGGTAGGTTCATGCTATGCTGAAAGCGCGCGCAGAGGTTGAGCTTGGTTCTTGGGGAGAGCCAGGTTTCAAAGCGGCGGCGGACTTCCACGATAGATAATGTTGTAATTTATGTTTTGCCGTCTCCTTGACATGGGCAAAGGCACAGAAAAGCACAGGATTCTGAATCGCACTTATTATGCACTCCAAATGCTCCTCGTCATAGAAGGGACGAATCTCTGCCTCGCATTTGTTTTGGCGGCGCGAGTTGTCACAGTAGCATGTGTCACGCTGAAGCCCGACTCAAAGAAAGTCTCTTCAAGATTTCAGTAGAGGCTGCTTTTGGCGTGGCCTCGACCGTTCTCGAGGGCTCCAGCGCAATGCCGCAGGGACACCGCCCCTCGGGCCCAGTTTCCGTGCTTAGAAGGGAGGTGATTATGCGATGAACATTCGATGGATGTCGATAGGATTAGAAGTCTTTAACCCGTAACAGGGATCTAACCCAGGGGGTGGCAGTCCTGCTTGGACCAAGCGGTCGAACCCTGCACCAAGGCGACGGGCTGAAGATCGGCATCGTCTCGAACACCGTCACCACTGCGCTTCTTGTCCGATTGTGACAGTTCCCAGGCAAACCAGTGAGGAGAAGGTTGATCACAGTGATGACCCTACAGGTCGAGCGGATGCCGTGTACGAGGCTAAGAGTTGAGGGTTGGTTGTTTGAAAAGTTGGTGCATCGGCCTTCACAACTCCATCCATGACCACCCTAAGCACTGAGAAATTGCTCACCAGGCCTAAATTCGAATTTTGCCCTAAACACGAAGGCTTCCTTTCCTCGGTGCCATGGTCACCGACGTTACGAACAAGGCCCGGCACAGTTTCCGTCAGCGTTTGGTGGGCGAGTTTTGGGAGCTGTGGGGGCTTTATGTTGGTTGTCCCCTGTTGGAAGGTTTTTTTGTTTCGTCGCGTCCTTCTCACGCAAGCCCCACCAAGTACGTAAAGTCCAAATCCGAAGTCCCGAACCTTACATGCTGACGGTTAAGCCCATGAGCCGATCTGAACCCGCATGCTCGCATGTTTCAGCATTTGAAAGCTTGGCCGCGAAATACCCAATCCATGGCCAACAACATCAAACAGACAACAAAAAGAGCACTAGGAATAGAAAAAGCGAAGCGAACTTCCAGGGCTCCTTGTCGAGGGCCGCCTCGGTGCCCTCGCGTTTGCTTCTCCTGTGCCAGGGCCGAAGAATTGAGAGTTCAGGGTGAAGTCGAAATTTGTGTAGGCGAAGAATTGGGTTTTGCAGGAGTCTTACTTTTCATTGTCGTCGCCTGATTCATTGGGTTTACTGCAACGGCTTCTAGCTCTCCGGCAGCTACTGCTACTCTTGCTACCGAGCGTATAGCAAGACTTGGATTGTCCGGCCATGTTTGGGTCGCGACTCTGTGCGAGGCGAAACTCTTAACAGTGCTGTTCTCCTAAATTGGACTTGGAATCCGCCGCGATAACAAAGGTTCTACTCGCTTGTCTTGGGCGGCGCCGCGCTGGGACTGCTGTCATGGCCGCAGGTCTTGAAACAGCTTCACTTCTTGTGGGGTAGCCAACGTCGCCCACTTGTTTTCAGCAGGTTCTGGTGGATGTGTACTTCGTCCCCGGCAAATCTAAATCCTAACCCTAACCCGTTAAATCCGGGATCCAGCAAGCTCCAGGAGATTAGCACTGTGATTGCCAAGCATTGGTAGCAGTAGCAGCAGCATCCCAATTAGCGGTGGAGGTGGTGGTAACAGCAGTACCTCCCGGGCAGACCTGGCTCAGCGTCACGAACGAGTGGTTCACAGCTGGTAAGCCTCTGGTGCAGAGCTCCCTGGGCGCCGTCCTTCAGGTATGACCTGGGGATGATATGGGAGGGAAGAGGTTTGTTGAGATCAAGCATTTAAATGATGACTTGGTTTCCACGTCGGTGGTTCTTTCTGATCGGCATTTGCGGTGGTTGCTGCTTATCAGCCGAAATTGAGGGGCACCGGGTCTGCTGCCGGGGGAGGTTGCTAACAGTTCATGCGCGTCACTTCTTACACGCCTCAACTGCAGGTTCACCATGAGCACCTGCATGCTAGTAGCACCGACGTAGCTAAACTATCAATGATTGGATGCTGACGCTGAGATGCTTGAGACCTTAAGAACGGGCTGCAAAGCCTCCTGAACTCGTCAACACCTCGTGCATGCTGGCAAGCCTGACTACACAAGCTCACCCGCATTGATGCAAACCAAGGCGTCCTCAAGCTTTGTCATGTCCAGATTTAGGGACGAAGCCTAAACCAGGAATGCTGTATCGTAGACCTGCAAGGCAGGCCGTCAAGCCCTGAGCCGTGTTGGTGCCTGGAGGTCCTCACCGCTCGACAGTTGGCATCGGCGGCGCTGCCGTTTGCCATGCTGTCTTTCGGCCTGGAAGCACCACGACAGTAGCGAGAACAGCAGCTACCGACACATCACGAATTTGATCCCAGCGATACTGGTAGGATTACTCAAAACGCGGCGATACGCGGTGTGCAGTAACAAGCAACCCCGGAGTCAGGGTTCGAGGTCCAAACACTGAAACCTGGATGAGGTTGTCGCTCTTGAAGCCTGCAAAGTGGGCACTGACGCTCCCTGGCCGAAGTGAGAGGTTTTCAATGTTTGGTTCCCGAGAGAGCCGGAGGTTTGAATTGCATCCAAGCTTGGTGACGGCCTAGTTTCCATGTTGCTGCGGGCCTGTGTCTGGGGGTACGCCAGTTTGGAATCGGAATCGATAGCCCGCCATGGGCCGCATTACGATACTTCAGGCTGATCGAAGGCTGGCATGATGTACTGAAATGTTGGGAACCAGAAAGGTCTGCAGAAGGTGTCGTCAAGCCAAGTCTGCGGTTCAACGGCCCTCGCATCTGCGTTGCGGTCTGAGTTGGCAACGACGAACGTCGAGTAGGAAAGGCCGAGGGGCAAGGGACTCTCAAAAACCAACCTGCCTCATACCTGGGCGAGTGATGAACTGTCGCACTCCGTACCAAGCATACAGCTGACGAAACTAGTCAGCGGAAACCAAGCACTTTCATCAACGATGCATGGTATCACTGAAGCAAAATTCGTTCGTTCTCTTGACCTGAGGCTGTTGATGCTCTTCTGGTTGGGCTTTGTGCACGTGGGTTATACGCTGTTAGATGCTTGAGCTGCAGCTGGGAGATGCTGAGAGGGTTGGGATGTACAAGTTGAGAAGAAGGTGCCGCGTCTGAGCAATCTAGTTGGGTTTGCAGGGAAGCTTTTAGAGGAAGGCGGCCGAAACCAATTTTATGGAACCGAAAGGAACACTCCCGAGTTGGAAAGTGTGTGTTAGAACCCAGCCCTCCCAGAGCCTCCGACCCTTCCCAATTGTAGATGTACACCATGTTTTGTTGGGCATCTGTCTATTCGGATGTTGTTTTCATGTGTTAGACCGTGCGCCTTTGTAGACAGAGTAGAAGTTTGCAAGCTGATGATCTTAGTGTCGATTGTCATGCCGATGAAGGTGATACCGTCGCAGCGGCGGTGGCTGCTAATCAGTAAGTGAATGCAACATGGTCATGATCATGTCAATGGTGACGTTGATGTTGATGCTGCTGCTGTTGTTGTTGTTGCTGATGTTGATGATGATGATGATGATGATGATTATGACGATGAGATGGTGGTCGCGATGATGTGAGCAATCACGCTGATAATGGCCACGAATTGCGTGGTTTTGTTTGACCACGGCTATGACCACGTGGTTCATGACGTCGACGATGACGAAGATGTTGGGAACTATCGATTCAGGGTATGGTTGGTGATTGTGGTCTGGTGATGGTGTGCCCGTGATGGCCATGTAGGCCTGGGGAGCAACATATGGCAAGATGCGTCTCCGGTACGTGCGCTGACACTGATTAGATGTGAGATGAGGCCGGCTTCCCGCACCGGGCAGCAGAGTTGCAGCAGGTCATGGGGCTTTGCGGCGTCATGATGGCCGCTTGGCCGTTGAATGGGATTCGAATCGGCATGCTTGCAGGTTTCAGGGTGCCTTTTGTTGACGTTCAGGTTTGGACTAGGTGACTGCTCTCGTTGATTCTGCAGACTCAGAGATCCACGGCCAGGCATGGGCTGAGTATTGTACAGGCTTCTAGAGTTTCTAAAGGTTGGGCAGCCTCTCTTCCAAGACTCGTGCTCGTGAAGTCGGGTCATCAGTGCTTCAAATTCAAAAAACGCACGCCTTGACTCTTAGCCTGGCAGGCGACCTTTGCCAAGTCTGGAGTTTAATGAGCCCCAAAGCAGATCTCTGAGAGCTGATACTACTTGTTCCGCTTAAATTTCTTCTCCGTCATTGTCCTTCAAAACCCAGCTGCCAAGCAGCGGCTATGCTCGCCCTGACCTAGAATCTCCATTCTCCAGGTGTTGCCAACCGCAAGAAACTCGAGAGCTATCAGAAGCTTTGAGACCCAAGTCGAGCTTAGCCCATCTAAGCATGTTACCGGCCAAACTGCGGCGGAATCTTGACCTTACCTGTTCGATTGTTGCTGTCGGGTCCAGGAGGTGGAGATGAGGTGTCAAAAGCTATGTGTTGCACCGCGAGGTCATCGTTTTTGCGGTGTACATGTCGCTGCCAAAGGTCACCAAGAAGGATGAGTAGACATGAGAAGTGGAATGCGATCGAAGCTGCACAAGAAAAGTCCGGTTGGGTGCTTGCAGAACCGTGAGCCACTAAACCCTCGGGCCTTGTGCGGCCGTAAGCTATCAGCTCTGCGCCCGACACGGCTTAATTCCTGAAGGGGAGGGAACTGAAGCATCAGACAGAGGGCAGAGGTGTTGTTTCCGACAGTGATCGGGACAGGGGCAAAACGGGACTTTGACATGACATGCAACAACAGGGTCTTGCAAAATATAGAAGGCTCGTAGTATTGACTTCCCAAGCAAGTAGCGCTCCTAGTAGCATTCGTTGCACCCGGCTTCAGAAGCCAAGCACACTTCAAGAGCTGAAGCCTGAAACCAAACGCAGCCAACCCCGGTGATTCGGAGGCGCTAGACTTCTGCCAGGCATTGAGTTGCAATCTCGCTGATAGGATTTGCTGGCACTATGGTAGGCTTTGGGAGTTTCAGGTTAAAGAGCATAGCGATGCAATTTACAGTTCAGACATGTTACCCGGGTACTGAAACCCTCGATTCAGAAGCCCTCTTGTATATGGCGTTTAGGGTTTGGGTCCAAGGGTTGTAGAGACTTCTTGGTGTGTTCCAAGGTGGGGCCAGCGGCCTGGATGCTATGCAAGAGGTTCCGTTGATGAGGCTTCCTGGGCATGGATTGGGTTCACGTGACTCGTCCAGCCCACGGTCGAAGAGAAGCATGTCATTGCTGGTAAGTTGGGAGGAAGATCGTTGCTTTCCGATGAGGTATGGTAGCTCGTTCGCAGAAGTCAGTTGGGCTGGAGCCCTGGTGTTTCTGTCACATAGGAGTCGAAAGGCCGAAGGTTACGTGTTTCCACCAGTCTTGCTTCTCATTTTTCGCAATGACCTAATCTGCTTGGAGTGGAGGGCATTCATGGGTCAAACCGTTTCGGGTAAAGAGCTTCAGACTTTTGGGGTGTAGGCTGCGCTTGAAATTCAGACAACGTTGAACTGCTAGCAACCTCCGTCGCACCAGGGTGGAAAGTGCAGCGTCCTAGGTCCTAGACCGGTACCTTTGCTTGTCTGCGTATGCTCACGGCAATTCGTGCGTCGCTGTCGGTCTTTGCTTTGCCTGCCGTGCTAGCAGACGAGCAGACGAGAGAAAGGCTGTCATCCGTTGCCGTGTGCAGATGGGACCACGAGAAGTTCTACGATCCCGACGACAACGGCTGGCGTTTGTACAGAACCTTCTCGAGGCAAAGGGATGCTCTCCTATACCTTCGTGGCCCTAAGTTCGATGGCGAGACGGCATACTCGGGCCGGGGGTGGACTTAGGCTTTGGTGTTGCGAGTCAACCTCAAGTTTGAAGTTCTGAGCATTCGTCGGCCAATTGGGCCAAAAAGCCTCCCACTACAAAAGTTGGCGATTGACAGCCCCAAGCATCAAAGCTTGCCTTGACTCTTAGCAGCCCTATATAGGCAGGCAGCTGCGCAATCCTTGCTTCCAACTCCTATGCGCCTTGCAGACACGGTTCAAGTCGATTCACTTCCTGGAAGCCTGGAAGTACAAAGAACTGAAAACTGAATTTGGGAGCATGCAGTCGGAAGAGCCAATCTGAGTCAACGCGTGTTTCCAGGCACATGTCCTTCGTTGATGGTGTCGATCTGTTCGACAACAAGATGTCGGCGGCTCAGGAGTCTCCGGTTTTGTGTGTCGTCTAACCCGTCGATCTTGAATCCTAAACTAGAATTGCAGGACTTAGCCCTGACCGCACCGTCTCCTACTTTGAAGATCTGCCCTCTGACTTCCGTGTCTGGTATATACTGAACAATAATGTCCATGAGTGAACCGCACTGCATCTAAGTACCGCAGGCTCTGCGCATCCTTAGCTGGAAAGCATCACCACCATCGCCACCGTCTTCACCACCCACTATCAGCAGCATCTGCAGCGTCGGAAGCGTCCTTAGCATTAACAGCATCAGCAGCTAGCACCGTCACCGTCCCTTCGTCTCATGGACAAGACCTTGAGCATTGAGACATGCGAGAAGTCGGAAAGAAAGGTTTTCCATCACGCCGGCGGAGTCCAAGATCATGGATCCGCAGCAGCGGGTGGTGCTTGAAGTCGGTGGCTTGCTTAGGGGGTTCAGCCGCTTGTGTTTGCGGTCGACGACTTGGGTCTGAGTTTGATTTTGAGGTTGCAGGGTGTGCTGCTAGTTTTTGGGGTATGGGGCTGAAGGCTCGGGCACCCAGCTGCGCAGGATTCGGGGTGCGTGCTGGGGCTGGCTTGGATTGCAGGCCTTTGAGTTCATCCTTTTGCAGCGACGCGTAGCTGAAAACCGGGTTCTCCGTACATACCGTCGGATCCTACAGCCGTGGGTAAAGTCAAAATTAGCACAAGCGAGGAGTGTACGACCGTTTCAAGGCCAGCACGTGTCATGTTCTGCTTCTGCCACAGCATGGGAGTTTCAGCCTACGTGGCTGAGGATCGTCCTCGTTGTTGGTGAGGGAGCATAAGTGCAAAGCCCGAAAGGCAGTAGGAACCTAGATCGAGCGCGTTTTCGGCAGTGTAGGGCATCTGAACTAGATAGATACGCACATACACAGATTCAGCTGAGCTTACTTCAATGCTTATGCACATGCAGCCTCAGATATTTACATGCATGAGCCTAGATCAAGTATCGCAAGCAGACTCCAAGACCCAACACCCCAACAAAGTCCAGCTGATTCGCAGGCTACGAGGCTCTCTTCTCGGGCGGATACAAGAAAGGCAAGATCATGAACTCGCTTGGGGGCATGCACCTGGGCTGCGACTTAGCCGTGGGTGTCTA